TCTACATGTTAACTACTAACTTTACAAGATTGTAAAACATCTAGATCCTAATTGAGTTTTAGTCAGTTTTTCATTTCCCAAGAGAGGCAAGTGAGCCTCAGGTAGGCTTATTAGAAATGCATGGTTATTAAAGCTCACCAAATCAGACATTCCTTATTTCCAACCTTGAATACTTCTTTTCAACAGGAATAAGTATAGTTGTTAGGGGAGATAGCAAAGGAAGAAAAAGAGAATGGGACAAAAGGCCTGGTTCCAATCTATGCATATATTCCTAATTAGAAGGGTTTTTTGCCATATGATTTGATTTATTTCTATAGGCTAGTCTTTACTTTTTTTTTTGTTCTGCTCATATAGTCTCAAAACATGTTGTGACTCCTAGTTACCCGTTCTTTTCCTGGCTTAGCGCTCATAGTAGTTTCCTCTGGGACCTTGACCATTAAAAAGGTTTTATTCTTTTTTTTAATTAAAAAAGATTTATTTATATAGGTATTTGAGAGAGAGAGCAGGGGGAGGGGCAGAGGAAGAGGGAGGGACAGAATTTTAAGTAGACTCCTATTGGGTACAGAGCCTGATGCAGGGATCAACCTCTGGACCCCGAGATCAGGACCAGAGCCGAAATTAACAGTCAGGCACTTAACTGACTGAACCACCTAGGCGCCCCAAGGTTTTATTAAATTCTTAAATAACAGTCATAAATGTCAAGCCAAATTAATTTAATCTTTGGAAAATAAGTCAAAGTGCATAACAGCATACAGCATAGTATTTAGCACAAAAGTGCTTTGTGTTATTTGAATATTAATATTCATAATCTATAGCTCACTAGTATAAGCTCTTTGTGGGCAGAGATTGTATCTAACTCATTGCTGTGTGTATAATGCCTAGCACAGTGCCTGTAGTGTTTTAGGAATTCAGTATTTGTCAAATAGTTTAAAAACCAAACTTTTTGTAAAACGAAGCATGTGCAACAGCAGTTGTAAAACTAGTTGTATAACTCCTGAAAGAATTTTTTAAAAAATCCCTACCCTCCTCATGTTTTTAAGTTGACATTTAAATTTTTCATCATAAGTTTAAATAGTTGCAAAGGATATAATTTCTGTTTTGCAAATATTGACATATTTAAATAAAACTGTTATATCAAATTTTAAAATGTATCCAACAGGATATAAATACCATAGAATTTTAAATATCATTCATTTAAAAAGACAAGAATGAACCCTTCACTAACCATTGTGATTTTTACATAGTTTCTTTTTCTCCTTGAATTTGTATTTCTAGTTCCATTCTCCCACAGAATTTTATCCTAATGTAATATATTTTTATGATTGAAAAATCTGCAGGTCATTTTTCCTTAAACTGGAAAGATTTTAAAGTTTTCTGTAATTACTGGGTTGTTGTCATTATAATTGTTGATACACAATTGATCAAAACAGCATGAACACATTACATATTATAGAAATAATTCGGTAAATTATCTTTAAGCAAAAAAAGTAAAATGTTACTGGGAATGCGTCTTTTGAACAAGACCAGGCAGAGCGAGCAATTTTTGGACTCTTAATTAAAGGAGATTTCCTGAAGTCCGGTATTTTGAATTATCTCTTTGTTTGGCACATCAGAGGCAATGTACCATCTTAAGACCCAGGTGTGCTTTGATGGCAGGTGTGGTTTACTGTCATCAGGTTGGAGAAAGGACCATAAGGAGGGGGAAGTAGGAAGGAGATCTAGCATGATGCTTCTGCCATAGCTTGGTATCAGGTGGATCACTTTTACAAATAGTATTTATGGGAATTAAGAATCTCAAAATTCATTGAAACCATCTGGGTTCACATAGACCTTGGTAAATCTTTGTGTACTCCTAAGGCTACAGTTTGAAGATTAGTACCTTAAAGAATAACTTGTAGAGATCATGTTAACTGGATTGTTAGAAATATGATTAAGTGGACAAGATGACTGCAATGGGCATGTGTTGTTTTTTTCTATCTCTTCCATTCCATGTGGTTCTAGAAGGATTGTCAGTCACACTACCTCACTTCCTATGGGAACTGACTTAGCCAATCATATTAATCCTCTTCCCTTGGCTATAGTAATTTGTCCAGCAGTAGGCATAAAACCCATACAGATGACTCAGTCCCTCAGTGGAATTGCTATACAAACACTGAGGAAGAAAATTTCTTTCTTCCTGTGGGGAGCTGCTGAGCTTTGAAGATGTAAATCTGGAGCTGTTGGCTACCAAGTGGGAGTGCCTCCCTGCAGAATGAAGGCAATAAGAGCTGAAAGGCCCAGAGGCCAGACCAAGGTCCTAAGAGGGCATGGAATTTCAGTTCTTAAAGCCTTGGTTCCTGTAGCTCTTGATCCTGTAGTCTTCCCCAGTACTCTTTTTTCAGCTATAGGAGCCACTAAGTTACTTTTTTTTTTTTTTTTTTTTTTGCTTGAGTTAGTTTAAGTTGTATTTTGGTGCTACTGAAATAATTTAGCAACAACTAAGCAGAGTGAACACAAAGTATAGTGAAAATGTCTTTGTAAAATGATAAGTTTGAAAATTTTCTTTTTTAGATTGTTGGACCTTCAGATGGAAGTAGTTACATTATAGATTATTATGGAACCAGACTCACAAGACTGAGTATTACTAATGAGACGTTCAGAAAAACACAGCTATATCCATAAATATTTTTAAGAAGAAACAGTAAGTGATATATGCCTGTATAATCTTTATTATAGTATATTATCTATACAAAATTATGGAAATTTGAGAGCCATAGGAAATTTCAGGAGATCTTCTAATGTTCTAAACCTCTCATTTTGCCTGTCTAGGAACACAGGTCTCCATTTGCCTGAAACATCTCTAGTCTTTTTTTATTTTTATTTTTATTTTAAGATTTTATTTATTTATTCATGAGGACACACAGAGAGAGAGGCAGAGACACAGGCAGAGGGAGAAGCAGGCTCCATGCATGTATCCCAATGCAGGACTCGATCCCGGGTCTCCAGGATCACACCTTGGGCTGAAGGCAAGCGCTAAACCGCTGAGCCACCCAGGGATCCCAATCTCTAGACTTTGGAAAGCATTTTTATGTACCCTCATTGCTCCTGCAGTTCCTGATTCCGTTTCTCTCTCTCTCTTTTTTTTTTTCTTTTTTTAAAAAGATTTTATTTATTTATGAGAGACTCAAAGAGAGGCAGAGACAGGAGAAACAGGCTCCATGCAAGGAGCCCGATATGCGACTCGATCCTAGAACTCTGGGATCACACCCTGAGCCAAAGGCAGACGTTCAACCCTCTGAGCATCTCTGATTCAGTCTCTGCAGAGATTATGGTTGGAAGAGAGAGCTCACCACAAAAAGATAATACCAAAGAAAAAAGATAGTTCATAGTATCATAGGATGGTAATGAGGAAACTGTGTTGTAGATAGTTTCATACAGCATGTCTTTCCTTCTCTACTGCTTTCTTGGGGGTCAGTATGATCCTTAAAGCTCTTCTCTTCTCTTCTTCCTTAAACCTGAAGGGTGATTGAATCTTAACCCTGAATGACTATAAAATACTTACTCTAACCTAAAGTTTGGCCCCACCTATAACAAGTGGTCCACCTGGATAAAGTCAGGTGATCCAACTCTTCTGGTCCAACTCTCTGGTTCTCTAAGACCCTGCTACTACAAGGCTTTTATTTCCAGGGCCATACATTAGTCTATCCTAATAAATAATCTTCCAAAAACGCTAGATTTTTCTTAGGGTTTTGATAGATTATCAGGAAAATGATTCCCTGGTACAATCTCCTCTGCAATGGAGAAGTCCTATATAACATGTAGGGTGCAACTTTCAGAGAGAGAGGGCAGAGAGAAAGACAGGCTAGACTTTTTTTTTTTTAATTTATTTTAGAGAGAGGAGCACCTGTGGGAGCCCCAGGGCAGAGGAGGGGCAAAGGGACAGACTCCTCAAGCAGACTCCCAGCCATGGAGCCCATCATGGTTCTCAGTCCCACAACCCATGAGATCATGACCTGAGCTGAAATCAAGAGCTGGACACCCAACTGACTGAGCCATCCAGGTGCCCCAGTACAGGCTAGACATTTTGGCCAGAGTCATGGTCCTAAGGTTTTCAGTTGATTCTGTCTCAGAGAGTACTTTAGAGGCCAAGAAAGGAACAGACGCTTATTTTTCTTTATTGTGAATGTATAAATAGGAGATGAAGATGAACTTTGCCACTAAGGTAGATTTTTCTTTTCTCACAGTAGAAATTATGGGATATATTTTATAGTTATTGTCTTGAGAGTTGAACAGTGACAGACCCTGTTGGGATCTGAGGAATTTATTCAACTAATTGTCCAAGAAGTTTTTCAGATCTTTTCTTACTATAAGAGTCTTTGGGTTTAAAACTGAAATGAAGGTTAGAGATCCATCTGCCTCTTCTTACCAGGGGATAAATTGAGACCTCAGTAAGTTGAGACTAAGATACAACTAATCAGTACAACACTGCATGTTGAATGCGGGTCTTCTGTACATTCCACTGGTGGCTCTGCTCCGCCCACTCCACCCCGTCCACCATCAACTCTGTCATTTTGCAGTAAGCATCTTCATTTTGGAAATTGTTAGTCCTACTTTATAAGAAAGGTTGTATAGTTTCACATAGCCCTGTTTTCATACTGTAAATTGTTGTGTCTCTTTCAAAAGTGTACAGATTGTTTTTTTTTTTGTACAGATTGTTTTTAAGCCATAATGTTGGGAAAATTAAGCAAATGCAAGTTAGAAAAAATTTCATTCTCTGTAGTCTATTATATAAACTTTTAATTGGGATTCCAGACTCAGATTTGATATTTAAAACTTGAAGAGCTCATTGAGAAGGTAGATCTCTGCACTGTCATTCATGTTATCTCCTACAGCAAATATGGAAGTGCTTTAAGAGAAAAAAAAAATGTCCTGAGTAAATTGAAGCATTAAAATGTGCATCTACAGTAACCTCATGACTCCTAAAATACTGTGTTTTAACGTATTTCTTTTTTCTGTTTTAGGATTTGGGCTCCCTTGATGTCAATCAGTGTGTGGATTTCCAGATTTTCCTTTTTCTTCTTCACATACCACTTTATGGATTCTATATCACTTTTTGTTATTCTTGATATTTTTTTGTTTTGTTGCTTTACTTGAAAGCATGTAATTCTGAGATTTATTTAATTGGACTTTCTTTGAGAGCTGTGTGCTAATAGAGTCATGTGTGGGCTACTGTCTCTATGAGATAGCTTATTACCCCGATATTCTTTAATGTCCTTTCCAAAGGCAAGTTGCCACTTGCCATTTTCGCTTCTGAAAAATAAAAGTATGACTTATTCACATTTTTTAGTGCTTTATTGTCAAGAAAAACTTAAATATTGAATGCTGCTGTCTTCTGCATTTTGATCCTTCAAAACAGTTAACCCACAATGTGAACATAAACCATTACTCTATTGCCTGGGGCCACAGTTGTGTATGAGAACCCACCTGTTTTTCTGCAGCTTGCAGATCTGTCTCTGCCTTGGTATCCAGGGAGCACAAGATCACTGGGGAGTCTGAGACCTTGAGGCTACATGGATACTTCTGGCACTGATTCAGGCCTCTGAAATGTGAACTTTTTCCTTTTTGCTTTGGGAGTGATGCACTAGCTTTTGGAAGACCAGCTGCTGACTCATCTAGCTCAGTGCAGTTATTTTGAAGCTGGATGGACAAGGTGGGAACACCAAACACATGATTAATGTCTTCCATCTGTTTGCACTGCCAGGCAGATGTTGGCACAAGTGCCTTCAGGGATGCACCAGTGTCTGAAGGAAGCAGCCCCTGTACATTACCACTGGGCTTCTTACTGTGTTTAGGAGGGTTGTAAGAAGATGGAAACACATGAAATATTATGTCCTCAGTTATATCATACTTTCTTTAGTAACAAGCATAGTGATTTCACAATTACTTCAGTCCAGACTCCTTGGGAGGAAATACCGTAATTTTTTATCACTCATTTTATTCAAAAGTATACAATTATAGTACAGTTAGCTTCATAACATCTTCATCATTCAGTAACAGCTTCTCCATTTGGTGGGAGATTATGCAGTATCAATAAATAACAGGAAATTGGATGGACTCCTCATGTACATGAAGAATGGTCTCTGATTCATTTGTTAGTTAAAATACTGAGTGTCTACTCTGTGGGAGACACTGTTCTAGATGCTGGGGTGCAGCAGTGAACAAAACACAAACAAACATGCCTGTCCTTAAGGAGCTTATGTTCCCTGGGGACCAATTTTTCACAGTGGTAGTATTTCTATACTATAGATGGTTAAGCTAGCTGGTAGATGCCCATTTTCTAGTATTTCCTTAGTATTTCTAGTATTTCCTCTAGTATTTCTAGTTCCTTTTGATTGCAGAGAGCAGAGCGCTTTGGAGTTTAACCTCAGGATCACCTAAGCCCAGATTTGAAGCCTTTATGTTTCTACAGCCATGTAAGTTCAGTTATGTAAGAAATACTTGGAATCAAATCTTGAAAAGTAATCTTGATTCTTGCTGTGATTGTTAGTTATTATTATGTTCTCTGAGGACCAATTTTTCACAATGGCAGTATTTCTAAACTATAGATGGTTAAGCTAGCTGGTAGATGCCCATTTTCTAGTATTTCCTTAGTATTTCTAGTATTTCCTCTAGTATTTCTAGTTCCTTTTGATTGCAGAGAGCGCTTTGGAGTTTAACCTCAGGATCACCTAAGCCCAGATTTTGAAGCCGTTATGTTTCTACAGCCATGTAAGTTCAGCTATGTAAGAAATACTTGGAATCAAATCTTGAAAAGTAATCTTGATTCTTGCTGTGATTGTTAGTTATTAAGTTGATTAGTGGGAAGTCTGTTTGAAAGCAGGTGCTTCTCCAAGTATTTATTCATATAAACTGTATTCCAAAAGGGTTTTAGATAAAATCTGGAAATAAAGTCTCTTTGCAATACCTTCTTAAACCTGTAGATTTTATTTTATCTATAATTTCCTAAATTTACATGACAAGAACACTAAAGTTTTTCCAGTTTGCCCAATTCTCTGTTCCTAATATATGTAATTTTTAACAAATGGTTTTTCTGTATCTTATTATATTTATTTTTATGTAAATGCATGTAATACATGTAAATGCAGTTTTGTTTTGCTTCATTTTGCTTTAATAGAGCATTATTTTATTTTGGCTGTTAGTAGTGTCTGTGAGTACGAATCATATTTTGAGGCCTCTGTATGAGATGTTTTATATGATAACTCTGCTTTTAGAGCAGTGGCCAAAATTGTGAGATGGATTAGCTTGGTCACTACTTGGGTTACTCCTAACACCTGTAAACCTCTAGGATGGAATGGAATGGGTTCTTTCAATGCTACAGAAACAATGTGTCTAAAGAAATATTCACAAATGATAACTACTGAAGCCTAAAATAATTAATACAATTTCCAGAAGTACTTCTTTACCAAGGAGGATTTCTTATCTACACTGTATTAAAATAAAAGACCTCTTTAGGACCTCAAAGGTTGTGCTATGTGTATGGCCAGCATCTGTTCATGGGATTCCTAGGACTATAAGAAATATTGATTTGTATGTTTTGTTTTTGTTTTATTAAAAAAAAAAGTCTTTTCCCCTTATTTTAACCTAGATGCTCAAGGCTAGGTTAAGTATATAATACTAATAGGAGGCTAGGAAGCTAAAATAGATCTAATAGCAAGAACTAGCAAAAAGAAAAATTCGTTCTTAAAAAGTACAAGTCTGAGATGTCCATTCCTCTTCCTCATCAAACACCTTAAATGTAGATATTCCCGGGTTCTGGCACCTTCCCTCTGCCTTTCTCTCATTTTGCTTTTTTCTATTTACAAAATTAATACAAGTATGCAAAAATTCTGGGAAACACCAAAAAGTACAAAGAAAATGGGGCACCTGGTGACTCAGTCAGTTGGGTGTTTGCCCTTGACTTAGGTCGTGATCCTCTGGTCCTGGGATCGAGTCCCCACATTGTGCTCCCTACTCAGCGAGGAGTCTGCTTCTCCCTCTGCCTCTGCCCCTGCTTGTGCTATTTTGCTTGCTCTGTCAAATAAATAAATAAGATCTTAAAAAAAAATACAAAGAAAAAACCTTATTCCACTGCCCAAAGATAACAATGTTCATATTTTTACATATGTCCCAGGTGTTTTTCCATGCATCAGTTCCTTCACAAAAATAATATAGTCTCCATACTGTTTTGTTGCCTGCTTCTTCACATTGTAAAGATTTTTCTATTTCAATAAATATCCTTTAACAACACAATTTTAATGGCTTACAACATTATTTTTAATGACTGCACAATATTCCATGCCTGTATCATAATTTACTTATGTAATTCCTTTATGTATTCTTTGGTATTTAAGTTATTCCAGTAAATCAGCAACGTGTTTGATTCTTTTTCTCTAGAATTGCCATTCTTAGTCAAAAAATATTCATATACAGTCCTGGCTAACTAGGGTAATGGAGAAGAGTTCAAACAAAACGGCAGTCAACCCTCAATTATCCTGGTACAGATTAACCGTGGTTCAGATACTGTAGGGACTTGTAAGTACCACTGCTCTGCAGTTAGGCCACTGCTCACTGGTGCTCATTGCTGCCCCTCACATCCCACAAGCTGCAGAAGAGCAGCTGTTTGAAAACAGGACAACTGTTGGAGAAAAGATGCTGGTTATGAGTATCAGGGAGGGACTCGTTTGGCCCAGGATGTTCAACAGTGGACTGAATTATCTAATGCCCTCCAGAAAACTTCAAGATAGAGGCTTTTTTTTTAATTTTGTTTTAATTTTTATTTATTTATGATAGTCACAGAGAGAGAGAGGCAGAGACACAGGCAGAGGGAGAAGCAGGCTCCATGCACCGGGAGCCCGATGTGGGACTCAATCCCGGGTCTCCAGGATCGCACCCTGGGCCAAAGGCAGGCGCCAAACCGCTGCGCCACCCAGGGATCCCAAGATAGAGGCTTTTTAAGGAGTAAGTAGGAGGTGATCCCTGAAGAAACGAGTGCAGTGTGAATATGGGGAAACGAAGGCAAATATGTGACCATGGAGTGAATGCTTAGTCTCAAAGATGAGAGACAAAGAGAGGACTAGATTGACATAACTAAAAAGAAAGAAAAGATGGCAGTGTGCTGAAGGAAAGAGAAGTCTCCCAACATCCTTCCTGCTCATTCTTCCAATATAACATTTAGCTGGGCCCACTGGGCCACATCCTGGTTAATACCAACTTTATCAACTTTTCCATTAAAGCCAAACTCGACTTAGTATAGTCAATGGTGGACTGTCTTATCCCTCGAATAACTGACCACAATGGCTGAAATTGAGAAATTGGGGCCGAAGTATCCAGTGACTCTAAAGATTGCCAGGGATCTAAGATTTGAACAATTACTGTCCACACACAAAGGAACCTTTGCAGATGACTGTTTCTGTGCAGAGAGTAGCTCACAAGTTTTACATTGTGGCCACAGTTGACTGGGACCTTAAATTAAAGATCTGAAAGATCCCTGGAGTTCCCATCAGGTACATTTCGTTAACCATAGGGACAACACTGAGTGGATGGCAGATGATTATGGAGCCTCTTGGTTCTAATTCCTAAAAGAGTTCCACTACCTTCATCTACCAACCTTTTCTATTGCCAGTTCATATAATAATAAGCTGTAGCATGAATTATTTCTCCATTTATCCATTTGCTCTGTTACAAGCTGAATATGGTTAAATATATTCACTTTTAGATGCTGTGTTGAAGAAAAAAAATAAAAGAAGCTCAATCACAATGGTCTTTATTTTTCCCTACTGAGAGGAAAAGAAAGGAAGATTCAGAAAATGAGAAAAGTTACTAATTAAGAATGAATAAAAATTCTGAACAGCACTGAGTACCCAAATAGTCCTGGATTAATTCATTTGTACCTGAGTTGATGAGCATGATAACATTTATTCTTATTATCTCTCTCCCTCTCTCTGTAAGAGTTACTTACTATTTGAGAGAGAGTGTGTGTGTGAGTAGTGCTGGAGGGGCAGAGAGAGAATCTGAAGCAGACTGTGCTGAGTACAGAGCTGGATGCAGGGCTCAATCCCACAACCCTGAGATGACCTGAGCCAACATCAAGAGTCAGACGCTTAACCAGTTGAGTCACCTAGGTGCCTCTTTCTGTCTCTCTCTCTCTCTTTTAATTAATCTCTATATCCAATGTGGGACTCAAACTCACTATCCTGAGATCAAGAGCCAGATGCTCTACCAACTGAGCCTGCCAGCCTAGTTAACTTTTAAAATAGAGCTAGTATCTTATTTCTTAGTAAATGTAGCAATGCTCTTACAGCCGGTCATTGTCTGATGGAGACAGAATGTTATCTACCTTCTTAGAAAACAGATATTAAAAAAAAAAAAAACAACATTTTTAGGAAGGATTTATAAAAATATCAAGGCTCAAAATCTTAGAATTTCAAAGATTTTTTTAAAAGATTTATTTATTTATTCATAAGAGAGAGAGAGAGAGAGGCAGAGACACAGGCAGAGGGAGAAGCAGGCTCCATGCAGGGAGTCTGAAATGGGACTGGATCCCAGGTCTCCAGGATCAGGCCTCGGGCTGAAGGCCGTGCTAAAACACTGAGCCCCCCCCCCCCCCCGCCACCCCCATCCCCCCCCCCCCCCGGGCTGCCCGGATTTCAAGGATTTTAACTTAAAAGACCCTTTTACCCTTACCACGTGCAGGGTGTTATGCTAAGCTCATTTTAAAAAATATTTATTTATTTATTTATTTATTTATTTATTTATTTGAGAGAGAGAGCAGGAGCAGGAGCAGAGGCAGAGGGAGAAGTGGACTCCCCACGGAACAGGGATCACAATGGGGGTGCCCAATCCCAGGACCCCAGGATCATGACCTGAGCTGAAGGCAGACACTTAACTGACTGACCCACCCAGATGCCCCTATGCTAACTAAGCTCATTTTATATTTTAAATGATTTAGTCCTCACAACATTTCTGTAGGATCTTTCTAAAGAGTTAATATCATCATCCCCATTTTCAAGATAAGTGAGTCCCACAAAAATTGAATGACTTGCTTAAGGCCATGAAATAAGTGTTGAAGCCAGGATTGAAAACCAGATCTTTCCTGTTATCCTGCCTACAATGGGATGGTTACAACTGTTTAATTCTATGAGACACTGCTAATGACTACGTAATAAGAGATGTTCCTTAATAGATTGTTTAATGTTTTCAGTATGGAAATTATCTGCCTATACTGAGGTTTTTACTTAACCAGTAGTTTGCTGTTTAAAAAAACAAACTTGGGCAACCCGGGTGGCTCAGCGGCTTAGCACTTGCCTTCAGCCTGGGGCCTGATCCTGGAAACCAGGGATCGAGTTCCACTTCGGGCTCCCTGCATGGAGCCTGCTTCTCCCTCTGCCTGTGTCACTGTCTCTCTCTCTCTCTCTCTCATGAATAAATAAAATATTTAAAAAAAAAAAAAACAAACTTATTTAGGGGCACCTGAGTAGCTCAGTGGTTGAGCATCTGCCTTTGCCTCAGGTCCTGATCTCGGGGTCCTATGATCAAGTCCCACATTGGGCTCCTGACAGGAAGCCTGCTTCTCCCTCTGCCTATGTCTCTGCCTCCCTCTGTGTGTCTCTCATGAATACATAAATAAAATAAAATAAAATAAAACATTTAAACTTCTCAACTTTACATCATGCAGATGCCAACATGGTTTATGAATATCTAACTGAGACTATAGATGGAGCAATGATTTTGTAAAACCCAGATTTTTCTGCTGCCGCCTTATCTGACATTTGCAGCACAAGTCTGATTATGTTTGCACGACAAGGAGACAGATGGTAGGTGGGACCATACTGTCATAAGCTCTGCTTAGTCTTGCTGACGTCAGATGATCCAGACACATCTGTAGATGGTGGGATTGCAGGTGATTTTTATTTAGTTAGGGTGGGTTTTGTTTTTTGTTTTTTGTTTTTTTTTTTGGCTTAACTGAATTTTCTAACTTCCACAATAAACATGCATTATTTGCATGCACATATTTGACACAGTAAATGATAATATGGGTAAATTAGAAACAAGAAAATCTTGTTCTTTTCCTCCCCTCTCCTTTTTCCTCAAGATACACTTACCCTAATCCCTGATGTGACTCTGACTTTAAAGAACAGATAATACATTTAAAAGAAAAAGGCAGATCTAACACATGGTATCAAAGGTCTGACATCCAACCAGCACAGTTTGGTGGGAAAAGCATCAAAGCAGTACTGTAGAACCAAGCCTGAGTCAGTATCCTGCCTTTGTTACTTGTTTTGTGACTGAACACATAGAGTTCCGAGCCCCTCTGACTTCATATAAACAGGGATCATCATATCAATTAGGTGATGTTGAGAGATTAAAAACGACATAGGTAACAGTCATTATTTATTGAATATATTTTAAAGGAATAGAATGACGACATTAGGCATTGGGTGGGTCCCTCTGAATTTGCAAGGACTTCCACATACTTGGGCCATAGTGTGGTCATACCTAGAGTGAAATACCAGAGGGCTCAAAAGTTCGTCTTTTTTTTTTTTTTTAAGATTTTATTTATTTATTCATGAGAGATGCAGAGAGAGAGAGAGAGAGAGAGAGAGAGAGAGGGGCAGAGACACAGGCAGAGAGAGAGAGAAGCAGGCTCCATGCAGGGAGCCCGATGTGGGACTTGACCCCGGGTCTCCAGGATCACACCCCTGGCTGAAGGCGGCACTAAACTGCTGGGCCACCAGAGCTGCCCTCGAAAGTTTGTCTTACAGAAGGAAGGTAAGGTGTGTTCTTGGGACATTATTTACCTACATTTTTCTTACCTTTATTAACACTATCATTACATATAGCCACTCTGTGTAATACGGGCCAAAAATCTCTACTTTCTCAAGAAAGTAATCTTTTTTGAGCAGGGGTGAGGAAGAGACAGAAGGAGAGGGACAGACTCTTCGCTGTGCAGGGAGCCCAAGGCTGGGCTTGATCCCAGGACCCTGAGATCCTGAAGGCAGGTGGGTCAATCGACTGAGCCACCCAGGTGCCCCCCAAGAGAGTAGTCTTATTGGCACCTTTGGTGCTTGAAGCCTTTTCCTTAAGTAAGATAAGGCTGCAATGTGGTAGAATTTGTTTTTGTTGCTTTTAATATGAAGTTTGTTGGAGATATTTGTCTAATACATTTAGAAATGTTGCTATGAGGCAGAAATGTTGCTACTTTCAGCCCAAATTAAGGTTAATTGCTTGCAATTGCTACACATAGAACAAAA